CATTTTTGGCATGGCCATTTGTCTTGACCATGTGTTTTTGGCATGACCCATGCTTTTTGCTAAAAATCAAACAAGTCTTCACTGTTGGCTCCATCTTCAGTCTAGCTTCACCACGAGTCAGGTTGCTCAAATATAATATGATAAAGGACATACACGACCCGTGTCGGTGTGACATGAGCCGTGCTTCAAACGTAGTCCTTTGCTATGATGATAATGCACAATGACTCGGGTTCCGTCTTCTTGTTCTCTTCATTGCATGACCGGTTCATCTTCTCTTAATGCTCCAAAGCTCCATGCTCCAAGTTTCATGCTCCATACATCCAAGCTCCATGCTCCATAATGCCTGCGAAATAAATCAAAAATAGTGAAGTACCAGACATTCTTGATAAAGTATGCAATTGCCCTAATAATCAACCAAATGCAAGAATTATGAAGTAGAATGCTATGAAAGGACGAAAATAAACATGCAAAATAGGTGCATAAAATGCACCTATCATGTATGGATATGCTGCAAGATATGCTCCTTCAACTGTAATTGAAGCCAGAAGATAGAAGAAGTCATGCAGAGCAACTGTTACATATCTTGTAACAAATCGATCACATTGTTTCTACACAAGTAACAAAGATCCATATTTCCAAAATAGTTTGTGTTTTATGTTTGTTGTTATTTGGATTAGGAAGATTTTTTTAGTTTGACACGTGTTAATAAAATAACAATTAAATGTGATTTATTTGAATATTAGTACAATTATTTCATGAAATGGACTGTTTTGTAATATAAGTATTTTATTTTGCATTATGAGACTTTTAAATGTGTTATTTAATTTGAAATTTAGTAAATCTATCATAAAAATATTTTTTTTAAGACCTTTAAAATTATGACACGCAAAAATGTGTGTCATCTTTCTTTATGACACAGGCTTTAATGATACGCAGTGCGAGTCGTAAAAGCACGTCGTAAGGTTACGACACACAAATGCATGTCGTGTTCTTTATGAGACGGCCTTCCTTGACACGCATTGCATGTCGTAAGCGCGCGTCGTAAATGCGTGTCGTAAATAGACGACGCACAAAAGTGTGTCGTCTTCCTTTATGACAGGGCCTTCCTTGACACGCATTTGCGAGTCGTCTAAGCGTTTTACGACACGCATTGCGCGTCGTAAAAGGCTGTTTTTCTAGTAGTGTTTGTTGACTAATTTCTTGGTTAAGTAATGGACCCTCAAATTAGTAAGCAACAAATTGTTTCTATGTTTGTTTTTATTTCATTTAAACCATGGAAATGTTTCCTCCATAATGATAATGTAAGCCTTTGATTATCTTTTGGACTTGGTGACTCTTAAAACTTAATGCTAATTAATTTTCACAAGATTATATGCTTCATTGGATTTGTGACTTTAATTAAGGAAATACGTTTGGAGCTCCGCTAACCTATTTAATAACAAAGAAGAGTTGAGGTAATTTGTGCTTATGAATTGCTATAGCCAAGTTAAATTAAATCACAAGTGTTGTTCCATTTAGTCTAATGATAAGTCAACTAAGATATTCATGTGGTGTATTCCAAAATCAACCAACTTTTCTTCATTGATTTTAAATCAAATCATCTACTTGTTTATTTGTCATCTCTATATTCTAGTATAGTTTAAATTCTCTCAAACAATCAAAAAGATTTGAAACCCCCCCCCCCCCCCCCATTTTACTTTTATTTTTGTTGTACAAGTGATTTTCATAGAGGTATAAATTGAACCAATCTCTGTGGATATGATCCCTTTACCACTATACACAATTTTTGTGTACTAGATTTAGGGTTATTTATTTTGTTAGCTTCGACAACCACCACCTCCATAGGTTTTTCATGAGCACACTACACATGTTGGTGTGATATTTGGTTTTTTAGTGGGAGTTTAATGGTGTTTTATGTTTTGTTTAAGAACAATTATGTTTTTATGTACAAAATTGAGAATTTGGTTAATTATATTATTATTTGCACTTATTTCAAATTTGATCTTACTTCAAGCTAAAGAGGAACTCCATGGAAATCTATTTTCATTTTAAAACCACACATTATTTTTAATCTATGTCGTTAGTTATATATGTATATGTGACCATTGATGGGTTTATTTACATAAATTGTAACAAAGACCGCTTTGATCCTATACAATAATGATTAATGGACAAGATTGTTTAAGGGTATCAATATCTTGATAACATACATCAAATCGCTTATATAGTTACATGTACATTTATATATTCATGGTCCAGTGAGAGATTGTTAGAAAATAATGGGACCATTGTATAAATGAGCATATATATTGTTATCATTTAAGCTTAGAAATATAATGACAAGTGTATAAGATTATTGATGGACCGATATTCACTTACCATTTGTAGCTTGAGTTCCCAACTTGACTTAAGATTTTCAAAATCTCTTCCATCTCTCACATTAGAGTTTATCTCCATCTATGAATACATGTGATGAGGAACAAATCGACACACGAAATTACTCATACAAATTCATTTTCTGAGTGTTGAGGGTTCTTCGAAGTTGTCTTGAGATCAACTGAAAAACCAAACCTAGTTCTTTAGATCCGAAGATTATAATGAAATCATGTATGAATCCTTCATTTTTGTTTAAGTTTTCTATTAATTAGATTCGAGATTAAAATCTAAAGTTTCCGCATTTATATTTTGGTTATATAAAATAACCAACAATGAAGCCTCCATAAAGTGATTGCCCTACCAGGGTTTGACACCATTAGAGAGGAAGGGTGCATCGATGTTTGTTCTTTGGCGAGAGAGGTGGTTGAATCTGTTATCTAAAATAATCGATTTGATGTATTGATTCAAACAGTTTAAGAGTAGGTTAATTCGATCAAACCAAATGGTATCGATACACAAGAATGTTGAAGATTGGTGAATGGGAAGTTTGTGACATTGGAGGTAACAATTATCTCTATGGAAATTACGAACGACTGTGGCAGAGAAGGTCCTAACAATAGAGGAACTGAGGAATATGATAGGCATAGACAATGCTTTCACATTAGAGGCATAGATAATAACTCTAAGGATATTTTGGTTTAAACTTGTTGAACTTGTTCCGGAGACAGCACTAAAATTTAGTAATTTAGTCACATTCTACTTAGTTTTCCCACTACGTCTTTTTTTTTTTTTTTTTTTCAAACGATGTAAATGGATTTGCTTTGTGCTGTACCATTCAGTCTTCCATGCCAAACAATATGCATAAATTAAATAGATTATTGGTTATATTAAAATAGAGGTCGGTAAAACCCCTTGAGACACTCAAATTATAATAAGTTTTTTAAATGGGTAATTACTAATAGTATAAAGCTAAAAAAATATTAGTTAAGATATTCTACATATTAAAATTTAATTAGCTTTGTCAATTGTCAATGCGTGGGGTGGGGGATACACGAAGGAATAGCAGCGGACAGAAGGGAAGAAAAAGAAACAGTGAGTTAGTTTTTTTTTTTTTTTTTGGTCGTGACTCGTGAGGATTGAGGAGGAGGCTCCCTCTGACTTTTTTTTCTTTCTTCTAATTGCCAAACACTTTCAAGCATTGACGATTGAGGTATTTTGTCCAATTCATTTTTTATTTGGGGCTTTGGACTACAAATACAATTAATAGACAATAGTGGATTAAAACATTGAGCTCCTATGTGGTTAATTATAAGTTGTAAACTTCTAATTATATTTTTGGGCTTGGTAATTTCCGATATAGTGACAAATTTTTTTTACGTAGTTGCATAATTTTTTTTACGTAATGGCACAACAGATAAAAAAATTTTTAAAAAAATCGAATTTTTTTCCACTATATACACGAAAGATAGGTGTTGTCGGTGCTACACCAAAACCGCCCCTGTATTATGTATAACCAAATTGTATAATGTAAAATAAGCAATTTATTTTATATGAAAACTAGGTGTGAAACTTATGTCCTACAATGGTTGATTAAAAAAAGTTATATATAAAAGTTTAAACATTACACATTTTTTAAAAGTAAAAATTACAAAATAAATAATTCAATGAACACGGTTGCCAAAATTATTCATATGAGGTACAACATAAACGTTACTTGGGAAGTATCCACTAATTTGACCTTAAGTTTATGTTTTAAATTCGGAAGGAAGAAAATCATTTTTGAAAAGATTTGTCATTTATTGTTATATTTATTTTACTTAATACATTAAATATATATAAATATTAGTATTATGTGATATTTTAATTTATAAAAAGTGAAAAACATAAGAAAATGACATTTGAAATATTAATTATTTTAAAATTGCAAAAAAAATAGCATGTGTCAAATTAAATAATGAAAAGTTAACATTTAAAAAAAAAAAAAAAGTTATTACAACAGACGAGACAAAAAAAATGCTATAAAGCAGCAAAATCAATATAAATATTTTCTTTTTCAAAAATAAACAAAAAACATTGCTTTCCAAACTCCCCATCTGAGGTAAATTTATAACTTCGCTTTGATTTCTCGTATCCGATTTTGGCTTATTCCAGTATTTAGTCGGATGCAGGTGAGAGTTCTGAGGCTGCTACACCTCAGATTAATTATGTGACTTTTAGTGGAGTCGGTGTAGATTCTAGTCTGGGTTCGAAGAGTTTGGTGTATGTATCGATGATGATGGTAGGCCTTACCCCTTTCGATCTAATGCATTTATGAAATCCTTTCGCATTCCAAATCTGGCTACTATCATGTTATCGATAGGGTTTAGTTTCCTTCATAGCTGCCCTCATGAATTGCTTCTACTCTGTATCCTTAATTTACTCAAACTCTCTCTTGGGTCTGTTTTCTTTTAGCAAATCACGAGGAATGCTAATGATGTAGACTTGCAGCTACTTCTAAATTTTGAACATCCAACAATTATATTCATAAAACAAGTACTGAAAGGAATAAAAACAAAGATCGCTTTATCTTCTGCAAAATGAAAAGATCGATATTACAGAAATCCTTAATTAACTGACTTGGTCACTCAAAAAACAGAAATGATTTTTAAGGAATGCGAATCCATTAAGTAAGCACGCCACTTCTCAATAGATGCCAACTCGGCTGAACTCAAACTTGGAAGTTCACGTTCTTGAAGGGTGTTGATTATCTGTGTAGTCTCACCGAGAAGCTGAGCTGCAGCTTGGATACTAGCCTCCCTTTTTTCTATGGCACTTGTGTGGCATTTCATTAATATGACGTGGGGTAAGTTGGTGAGACATGCAGACAATATATCAGCAATCATCAATGATAACTGCACAAATAGCTCTTCTTGGCTAAGCTGGTCAATGTTGGAGTGGTAGGAAAGTAGGATTGTTTCGGTGATACGATACATTGAATTGGCAGAAATGCACTTGCATTTGGAATTATCATCTGGAACTCCATTACTTGTACCTTTCATCTCAATAACCATGTTTTTAGCTGTATCCCTTAGCCATTGAAGAATCTGTCCTGCTTTCTTCACTTGAGGATCATGGTTTTGCAGCTTGTTTCCTAACCATTTGTGGTAGATATCAACTTCTAGCCACAATTTTTTAGCCGCCTTTTGAATGCATACATGGTCATCAGAAGCATTGAGGCTTTCTTCCACAAATGTGACATATACAAGACCTTCCCTAACACCCGTAATCAGCAAGCAGTCGAGTAGGTTCTTTTGGATGTTAGGAAGAGACATGGCGATGGTTGTCAGAGTTACCAATGCCAAGCTCCAACAATTGAGATATTCTTTTGAAAGTAAAGGCGGAACATGCTGGCTGTCAAACTTTTCAACTCCTTCAAAACCGCTAGATTCTGCAAGAAGCTTCATAAGATTGTTGGGTTGTTGTTTTTCAGCCTTTCGGATCAGGCGATTCACAGATTTTGAAATGCTTTTTAACGTTCTCTCAGCAAAGTCAATGTCATCTTCAAGTTGCAAAACATACCGTCTTAAATCTTTATCTTTTCCTAGTTGCGCAGGATTTTGTCCCGGCATGATGCTTGAGGCGCTAAACATGGCCTTTAACCACTTCCAACAACGGAGACAATACACGACACATATCACAAAGAAAATTGGAATCGTTGTTATGATCTTGCATGCTACCACGACTGTCTTCTGAAATCCTATAAAAGTGCTGAGACTTAGGATTTTTAAATTCTGGATAACAATCTTGCAGTTGCGGCTACTGGATAGGAATGTTATGTTACTCTGTTTCCAATCATATAATTTCTGAGTCCAGTAGCTCTCTACTTTACAGACGTTGACTTGCTTCCAAATCCATTTTACTGACAACTTAAATCTTAAGGCTGCAAAACATCTGGCCACTGGGGCAATTGTACCCAGTATCACTCCGATAAATTGTATCATGAAAATCACTGGCATCGACCACCTATAATCCGAATTATATTTATGCTCTGCTATTTTTTTAAAATTAACAATCACAAACGAAGTATGTAAGCCACTGCTTAAAGCACATATTACCCCAGCAGCAGAGGTTGTAGCAAAGCAAGCTGTCATAAATTGAGGGCTTCCTGTTTCCGCCATGACCCAGTAGTTGCTCACATGCTGCTTCAGCTTCTCAACAGTTAATAATCTTCCTGGTTGTTGAAGCTCTTGATCCATTAAAGTTGTTTGATGAGACGCTTGGTATTTTGTTTCTAGAATCTGTTTGGACTTTAGAATTGCTAAAGATGAACACACATATATTATCAGCATCATGAGTAAAGTAACTACAGAAATGAGGGCAGAAGAACCACTTGGATGGAAATTTACGTATGCATAACCAGAAGTCTCAGGGAACACATAATCGTCTTCATAATAGTCGAGAATTCCTGTGTGTATTTGAATGCAAACATTACCAACCAAGGTGATTACCAAAACAACCAACGCTATGATGTTTGCAACAAGTTCCTTGCTATTCATGGTTGCTAGAGAAGGCAATAAATTAGCCATCATGGTGCACATAAAGCACATACTTCCAAACTTTGCTGTTATGTCCACACTTGCTGGCATTAAATTAGTTAGATCCATGGGTAACTTTATTGCAACAGCTATCACAGTGAGAGAGGCAGCATTCAGGGTAAAGTATTTACACGGAAACCAGAGCTTTCTGTTTCGCAAACCATGTAATAAATCAGCCATCATTGCAAAGATGCATAACAGAGATGCAAACGCTATATACATCCCAATCCATGGCATAGGTTTGCTGTACAGGTTTTGGTTATCTAACTTGTATACCAACTTCCTCCAATGAAATAGGTATACTGTTGCCGTATAGTTGCAAGACACCTTAAGTAGCTCGAATTGTTCATCAGTATTTTGTAGCTGGAATTGGTGATATTTATTTAGTAGGTTGGAATCCATGATTATGTTCTTTCAAGGGAAAGGAACTGTACTTGGTTTTCTCTATGGCACTTGTATGGTATGCAAATACGGTGTAATTAAGGAAACTCAGAAAGCAGGGTTTGTCTTGCGAAAGACTTACAAATGAAGCTATGTTTCTTCCTATGGTATGAATATGGCTTTAAATAACGATGAAACTTTCAGGTTTTTGGTCTATCACTTGAATCCATCCATGAAACTTTCATCATAAATACAATGAAATGGTCAAAGAAGTTAAGGATGTGATGGAACACTTGAATGATATGGAAGAAACTACCAATGACTTTCTCTAAAGCATGCAGGCCACATATCTCTTCACTCTTCAGTGGACTTTGAGGGTAGTGCGGGATAACTTCTTATTACTTTGAACACAAAATTTAAAATACTACATATATGGTACATCCAAATTTATTTGTATTTCTAGACCCACTAGCTTGAACGGTGCCCTTGTAATTGTATCGTGACTCGGTCTTGATATGAGTGTGGGTTCATGTTCTTTTTGGGTTATAAAAACAAAGAACTTTACATAGAACGTAAGCAAGTTACGCCATTTTAGAAAAACACATACTATGAAAGAAATATATATAATGTACTTTTTAATAATTCCTCTAGGCATAAAACGAGAAGGATTTATATGTGACAAGTTGAAAACAAGGCCCTAAACAATGTATACTGACTCGCCGAGTAGACGCTGGGTGGAGAAACCCTAAATTCTCGGGTTTGGAACCTATTTAAAGACACTTATAGCTTCATTTGCGGCTCACCAGCCATCCTACAACCCTGAGAGAAAACCCTAATCGTCATTAGAGCTAGAGAGGGAGAGCAAAGCTAAATTGGTGGTTGTTGGTGCATTCTTTGAAGGAGAAGTCAAGAGTATTGAGGTTGGAGCAAGATGAGACTTTGGAAGAAGAGTTTTCTTGAGGTAAAGATGTTGACTTGCTCATCTTCTATGGAGATCTTGATATGGGAGTTTTCTAGGGCTTTCTTCCATTATTTAGAGTCAATGAGCCTTTTTGTGTATGATTTGAGGTTGAAACCTCAGATCTGAAGTGTGGAGGGTCGTGAGAGCCCAAGGACCTGAACTTTATTGAGCTAGAGACTAGAATTTGAGCACCTAACCCTTTGTAGGACTTTGTTTTGGCATTTTTGGGCATATATGCCATGCATGAACGTAAAGGTCGAGACTTTATGCGGCTTTTGTGCCTTTAAGGACTGGATCTAGAGTCTAGTGTGGTAGATCTGACCTTGGACGTCTGAATGAGAGATCAGGTTGAGTAAACTCGCCGAGTCCATGAGCTGACTCGACGAGTCAGTTAGGGTTTGTCCCGATGTTCATGGTCATGCGATAACTTGGCGAGTTGGGAGTCAACTCGACGAGCTGAGCCAACTTCCACGAGACTTCTGAGGAAAAAGGGGACTCGACGAGTCACATGGGTGCAATCGGCGAGTCAGGTCAAATATGGACTGTTGAGTCGAGTTTGACTTCTGTTGACTTTAGGGTTTGGTCAACATAAGTAATGGAGACCATGGAGGGGTAAAATGTTATTTTACCCATTCCAAGTGTTAGAGAGAGGGGGAGAACAACCTTTGATGTATTTGAGTATGAGTAGGGTATTTATTAGAGATTATTATTCTATGTGTTAGGCGGAGGCTAGTTCGAGATTCCGTGTACGAGATTTTACTTGCTAGCTTACGAGGTGAGTGTTCTCACTATACTTTACCTAGAGTGGTACTTATGTGTGACCGGAGGGTCTTATGTGCTTACATTGAGTATTATGATATCCTGCCTTATGTTTTGTGAATCATCATGTACATTATGTCTTTATGATATTTTGCATGTTGTCTATGTGATATATATGTTATATTTTGAGCTTACAGAGTTAGGACCGGAGGGTCCATCAGAGTTGTGGGACTGGAGGGTCCCACTGAGACACATTGACCCGAGGGTCTTACAGAGTTATAGCCTCGAGTGGCTAATATGTGTATGTGGTATTTTGGGGAACTCACTAAGCTTTGTGCTTACCGTGTTATGTGATATGTGTTTCAGGTACTTCTTTGGATCGCGGGAAGGTGCCGGCTTGATTGTATACATGAGAAAGAAAAAGTTATGTTTTGAGGATCCTGGAGTAATAATCAAACGATTATGGAGTCGGTGTTTTGTTAATTCGATAATTGGGAATTTTGTAAAATATGTTATGAGAATTCTGTGATTTTAAATGAAAATTTTGTTTTAAAATTTACGGTGTTACAAGTTGGTATCAGAGCCTTGGTTTGAGGGATTCGGATACACCTTCGGGTATGTCTGGACTCAAACTGAGGATTTGAGAAAAAACTTCCAAAGAAATGATTTTTTTTTCTAAAACGAGCAAGAGTTTCTAAGAGAAAGACGAGAAGGAGCAGTGTGTACAATCAGCAAGAGCCCGAACGGTGATTTCCCAAAATACCTCAGTTGTTTACTTTATGAAACATTTATGAGATATTTATGTAATGTTCATGAGATATTCACGAGAGATTAGAATTGCATGCTAGAGCATAGCTGCATAGGCTAGGTATTCCATACCCTAGCGCTAGAGTTGCCTGATTTGTGATGCCTTAGCCTAGGAGTGTTGCTATTTTTATGTGCTTTGAGTATGTGCTGAGTAAGAGTATCTAGCAGGAATCAGTTAGAGAGAGTTATGAATTGAGAGATAATCTAGGAGAGATACCTAGAGGTGCATTGAGGAGTTTACTGAGAAGAGTAGTTAATTACCACGAGAAGTAGGATTGTCTAATTCGGCGATGTCCTTTGAGTTGGGACTAAAGCGAGGGATATTATATGCCAGAGAGGATTTACGTGCTAGTGGAGGTTAATCGATGCATGGATGCTGCTTGCTTCGTGCTTTGTGGAAATCTTGATGATGAGAGTCAGCTACTAAGTAAATATGACGATATTCAGGAGGTAGATGGCTGGCATTATTAGGAGTTCTTCAGCAACTGATGGTAGAGAAGTGAGGGACCTAGGAAGAGTCTAGGGAGTGACCTTAGTCAGATGGGTACGCTGATTGAGGAGAGTATTCATTGGGGAGCGACCAGGTCTAACGAGATTGGTGATCGAGAAGGGTGAGCAGCTACTTGGGAAATCTGGGGTGATCCATGTGGAAAGTATGGGTAAATGTGGAAGGTAGTATGGGCCCGTACTACTGAAAGCAGAGGAACCATACTCGATACAGGGAGAATTCCATAGGTTCCAAGTGTTGGGTTTTGAGCATTCTAACACTCCTATGGTGTACATGCAACCCTAAATACCTTGGATCGATGTTTTCTCTATTACACATGCAAATATGAACTTTCCAAGGTATTGTTCTAACTAGCATACAATCTTATGTACTTGCATAACAAAATAGATAGAATACATACCTCTTTGTTGTAGCTTGATTCCATGGAGCTTAAGAGCCTAGTGCCCCAAGTGTGACACCTCAAATTGTTCACACAACACCATCAACATTTGGAATAACCATGAGAAGAAGATATCATAGGCTCAAAATCGGCTAGCCCTCACATAGAATCCTTAGGGCCGATTTCTTGAGCTCATGGGTTCTTTATATAGTGTGCACATTAGGGTTACACCATGTAACCCATGACTTTACCCATTCCTTATGCTCCATGGGTTTTAACCTCCATGTAGTATCCATTGGTCACCACATGGGTTAAACCCAACATAAAGAATCATGGATTATAAGCCCACATATAAAAGAATGAATGATTTACACAATCAATCCCCATATATTTAATTAGTCTCTTTTGATCACTAAATTAATTCCAAATTAATTCTTGATCAACACTAATTAAATAATATGATTTCATATTAATATATTAGAACTTATAATATATTAATATGTCACAAATATCCTCTTCTCACAAAAGGTCTACCCAAATGTTCTGATGCCATGCAACCCAAATGGACCATGTCGGGTCGGGTCAAGTATATACCAATTATAGTTATGGACTTAGACACTATTCCAACACCAAGTAGTAGATTGAAAGGTGATCACATGGTTCAGGTACCATGATTCGTGGCATATTGAGAGTTGATCACATGGTTCGGGTACCATGATTCGTAGCAAATCAAGAGGTGATCGCATGGTTCGAGTACCATGATTCGTGGCAATTAGTGCTTCTGGTTTTACCAGTTATCCAGTTGTGATTGATTAGATTGAGATCAGATGTGATAGAGTGTGGGTCCAGAGGGCCATGTTGAATGAGTTTCAAATGGAGCATACCTTGAGGGGGAATTCAAGTTAGTTTCCGAGAGATTTTGTTGGAGTCGCAAGACTCAGGGATGAGTAGAGATGATACTTATTAGGGTTACACCATGTAACCCATGACTTTACCCATTCCTTATGCTCCATGGGTTTTAACCTCCATGGAGTATCCATGGGTCACCACATGGGTACCCAACATAAGGAATCTTGGATAAAAGGCGCACATATATAAGAATGAATGATTTACACAATCAATCCCCATATATTTAATTAGTCTCTTTTGATCACAAAATTAAGTCCAAATTAATTCTTGATCAATACTAATTAAATAACATGATCTCATATTAATATATTAGAACTTATAATATATTAATATGTCACAAATATATCTTTTTCTCATAAAAGGTCTATCCAAGTGTTCTGATGCCATGCAACCCAAATGGACCATGCTGGGTCGGGTCAAGTCTTACCAATTATAGTTATGGACTTAGACATTAATCCAAAAGTCTCCCACTTGGATAAGTCTAAAACTATTATTGCAAGTATGACTTCAAAACCCGACTAGCAATCGTAGCTCACAAAAGCCTCTATCGAACTCTGACCTTGTCGATGAACTCTGACCTTTGTCAATGACTTGTCCATTAGATAAGTGATCATATATTCCTCCATTCTAGATATCATATGGACTGAGACATGGATTATAAATCATTCTCTCTGTCCATTTGTTGTTTCCCGATTTAT